CATGCTTTTCCTGTCTCATATCATTGGTTGATGTTCTGTTACACGTTCTCTTCTGCATTTTACACTACTTAGGTTTGGATTTCCCTCTAATGCAGCTCTCACCCAGACATAAACTCCTCGATCCCCCGACGTATCCAGGTTTCTGGGAAACTCAGTATCTGTAACCCAGATGTTAGCTGAGGGTCCTTTTATCCTCAAAATTAAGTTAAATCGGCTGCAACGACCTCCACCCCATCCTCAGCACCTGACACGTAACTGCAGCTTTTCCCAAGATTTAGACAAATTCTCAAGGGGCTTATGTGCTTAGAGCTTCTGCCTCCCAGGCTTCTGCATGTTTAAAACGGTCTCTGCCTGGCACCATGTAGAATCAGATGTGAAATACACACTGAACGCTTCACACACACACAATAAAACATACTCCAGACACTGCATTTGTGAGCCCGACTGCCTATACTGAGTAGTGGGCATACGGGGTCGGCGCGGTCACATCCAGGGTGACATGAATTAACACACATCCCTGCTCCCCCAGGGCTTCCACTGCCATCAGGCAATGTCCTCTTTCCAGCTCTTTTATCTGCTTCTCTCCTCCCCAACTCTTCTCCAGTCTGTCTGTAAGTGACACAATTCATCTGTCTCCAGTGCCAACACCCAAACTTGTTTAGCCAAACCTATCAAATTTCTCATCAAATCATGGCCTTGCATTTAACAAGACCCCCACTCCTTAGAAAGAACCTAGAGACACAAATTGCCATGGGGAGGTGTGGAGGGAAAATATGACGGGAAACCTACATCGTTCATAATAACTCTAGATCCAAGTTCTTGCTTCAGTCAAATTCCTCTTCTCTGCTCTGCATAATGTCTCTAATATGTTCCTTTTTTAGCACCCCAAATCACTTCAGTCCTCTGAAATACTCTTTATTTTAGGTTTTTCAGGTAGCACACTGCTATGCTGACAACAAAGAGTGGGAGACAGTCATTATATTGCCCTACAGCTCAACAAACAACTTAAAATTGAATATGAGACATTTTTGCCCATAAAAACTCTTCGGTCTTTGTAATAACCAAGAACAGTTTCAAGTGTTGTGGAGGAGGTAAAGCAACTGAAATGCTTGTACACTGTGGCTGATTCTATCCTTGGTTACATCCACTTAGACACACTGCTTGGCACTATTTACAGAAGTTGAACATACATATACTTTTTGGCCCTGTAATTCTACTCCTAGGCATATATCTAACAGAAATACATACATATTTTCTCCAAGACTTGTAGAAAAATGTTCATAGCAGCACTGATCTTAATAGGCAAAAATTGGAAACCCAAATGACCATCAAGAATAGAATAGATAAATAATCTGTGGTATAATTATACAGTGGGGGACTATACAAAATTGAGAATTAATGAAATGCAACTATATACCGCGTGAATGGGTCAAACAAACATATTAAGTGAAAGAAGCCAGGCACAAAAGGATATATACATAGGATTCAATTTATAGAAAGTTCAAAATAGCCCATACTAATCCATGGTGCTGAAAAGCAGGATATTGATTGCTAATGGGTTAATGACTTCACTAGGGAATGCTAGTGGATTCTAAGATTCTGAAATGTACCACCTCTTGATGTGAGCGCTAGTTACATAGATGTATTTACTTTGTGAAAATTAATCTATATACACATGATTTGTGTACTTTTCTTTATGTATGGTAAGCAAAGGGTTACCAACAGGCCCGTACTCTTTTTTCTCCCAGAACTAGACCCACTAGGAGGATTTCAGGTCTGCCTCCTCCCAGCATGGGTCCTTTGGATATATTCCAATTGAGATACATTTGGAATGTTGGGTCATGTGTTTTACACACTGTGAAATGTCAGATCTGTGAGACAGACCATGGATGGGGAGATCTGTGAGCTGTAAGCCTACAGGATGGGAGGGAGGCTTCTTTGCATCTGGATGAACCCTGCACACCATGGCTTCATCACCAGCAATCATACACACACTCGAGAGGCAGGTAAGGCAGGACCCAAGCATCTATTCACGTGGAAAATTGGTAGGCTTCTGTTGAGACTGAAGGGCTGGGCATGCTCTTTCCTGGCCTGAATCCTTCTAAGAAGCTAAGCAAACTTAGTGATGACTTAAATGCTATTGTGTCTTGTGAGTTTGACTGCCATCAAACACATTACCAATGGGATAGTGGGACTGTGTATTCTACTTCAATAAAAAGTTTACTAAAGAAAAGCTTCCTTCTATTCCTGCTGAACAATTATTTACACAGATCATATCTTCTTCTTGGCCTCAAAATTCCTTCCATTTTTCTGAGCTTCCCCTCTCTCCTTTGACCTCCTGTCTGCTCCTTTTTAGGGCTCTCACCCACAACCAACCCCTGCCTGTCCTGTTCATTTCTTATGAAGAGCTGTTTAACTCTTGTGTTGTTTCACCCTAAACTCACAGAGAGCTACTCTCAGAGAGCTCTTATCAATAACAACACTAGGACTGCTTGCAAAACATAGTTCCCTTCCAGAAGTTGTGTGGATACTTCTTAAAGAAACGTTTTCTTTGCTAAACAGAGCCTGCCGACTCTGTCCATAGACATTCCAAAGTCACACGTTATCTGGAGTCTCAGTTACCTATGTGAGAGCTCATTATTCCTGTTCCTAATTTGGCATCTCAAACTTTTCTGAAAGTTAAGACAAAAGGAATGGAGTGCCTACCACTACCAACAGATGCTCTTAGAAGTGCCAGCTGCTGCGATATGGCCGCCAGGGACGACCTGTCCCTGGTGTCACTCTGCTCTGTACCCAGCCTCCTGCATTGCCTCGACAGTGATGGCAGCTGGTCTAGTCCCAGCTTTTCAATGGTTGGGGTTTTTTGCTTTTGTTTTTGTTTTCCTTTTTGGGGGACTGGGGACTTCTGAGCTTAATAAAACCCAAGAAAGACATCTTGCTGTATATATTGGTGCTACTTTATTTCCTAAGTCATAACGTTAACGTTCCCCCACTTTGGGTTTTGCTGTTTGTAGTCTTAAGCCCTCTTGCACTACTTTCATAGATTTTACTAGCACTACGGTCTCAGTAGGAGGAGCCCTCTGTCTCACCTCCCCACGGCAGGAGCCATGAGGAAAGGGGTGTCATAGGCTCAGAACAACACAATCTCATGACAAATAGTTCTGAGACCACCACTTGAATTATCAAGGTTGATAACTCACGTGCCTGGTGTTCATTATTTCAGTGCATATTGAGTACCATTAATATTCAAGCACATCATTCTTGGAGTCAGGAAATATGATTTAAAAGGCACAACTACTGACAGCGAGCAACTCAGAATCTAATGAGAACCACAAAGCATGCTCCCCTTAGAACTATGGTACAGGACAGACAGCATGCTCACGGGGTCCCAGCCATCAGACCTCATGGTGATGGCATCGGGCTTTCTGCAGCATCCTTCCTGTCCTCTCTGAAGCACTCAGCATATCAAGATCAAGTTTCCCATCATTCCCATCAACAGGAAGGGAGAAATTCAGATTTGATTATGATTACTGCTTATTTCATCTTGAATTCAAACCCCTGGGCTTCAGAAATATTGCAGCTTGTTGGGACATTTGGCTCTCTTATTTTTACCTCTTCTTGTTCTTGTGGGAAGAAACAACTCATCATCTACAAAGGTACCAGAGGCACTTTCTATGATAAAATGAGGCTTCTTAAATTGCACAATTTCACATGTACAAAGTGCAAAATCCCAGAATTGAAATTAAGATTCTGCATTGCCCCAACTATGGATGTTACTGGAAAATAGAAATGTCACCAGGACCTGTTCAAAGAAGAGCTTTGATTATCTCCTTTAACAGGTTAAAACCAGATTATAAAAGACAGTTCCAAAATATTCACATTCATTTGGTGTGTAAAGGTACATTTTTCCATAAAGATCTGTGCTGCTCAAAAGCATGAAATTCAGCAGGATGGCTCCTTTATTCCACGAGTTGGCAGAATTTATTTTCATCTTCTATGCATGGCCCACCAAAGTAAAGGGTATCATTCATTGTCAGGAAGGCCATTTCCTCAGCCCTGTAGAGGGTCAGGTTTTCCCACGCCCTTGGGGGCTTGCGAGACTGGGGACTTCTGAGCTTAATAAAACCCAAGAAAGACATCTTGCTGTATATATTGGTGCTACTTTATTTCCTAAGTCATAACGTTAACGTTCCCCCACTTTGGGTTTTGCTGTTTGTAGTCTTAAGCCCTCTTGCACTACTTTCATAGATTTTACTAGCACTACGGTCTCAGTAGGAGGAGCCCTCTGTCTCACCTCCCCACGGCAGGAGCCATGAGGAAAGGGGTGTCATAGGCTCAGAACAACACAATCTCATGACAAATAGTTCTGAGACCACCACTTGAATTATCAAGGTTGATAACTCACGTGCCTGGTGTTCATTATTTCAGTGCATATTGAGTACCATTAATATTCAAGCACATCATTCTTGGAGTCAGGAAATATGATTTAAAAGGCACAACTACTGACAGCGAGCAACTCAGAATCTAATGAGAACCACAAAGCATGCTCCCCTTAGAACTATGGTACAGGACAGACAGCATGCTCACGGGGTCCCAGCCATCAGACCTCATGGTGATGGCATCGGGCTTTCTGCAGCATCCTTCCTGTCCTCTCTGAAGCACTCAGCATATCAAGATCAAGTTTCCCATCATTCCCATCAACAGGAAGGGAGAAATTCAGATTTGATTATGATTACTGCTTATTTCATCTTGAATTCAAACCCCTGGGCTTCAGAAATATTGCAGCTTGTTGGGACATTTGGCTCTCTTATTTTTACCTCTTCTTGTTCTTGTGGGAAGAAACAACTCATCATCTACAAAGGTACCAGAGGCACTTTCTATGATAAAATGAGGCTTCTTAAATTGCACAATTTCACATGTACAAAGTGCAAAATCCCAGAATTGAAATTAAGATTCTGCATTGCCCCAACTATGGATGTTACTGGAAAATAGAAATGTCACCAGGACCTGTTCAAAGAAGAGCTTTGATTATCTCCTTTAACAGGTTAAAACCAGATTATAAAAGACAGTTCCAAAATATTCACATTCATTTGGTGTGTAAAGGTACATTTTTCCATAAAGATCTGTGCTGCTCAAAAGCATGAAATTCAGCAGGATGGCTCCTTTATTCCACGAGTTGGCAGAATTTATTTTCATCTTCTATGCATGGCCCACCAAAGTAAAGGGTATCATTCATTGTCAGGAAGGCCATTTCCTCAGCCCTGTAGAGGGTCAGGTTTTCCCACGCCCTTGGGGGCTTGCGGGGCTGTTCTGGCGATCTGCAGCTACAGTGAAAACTGCTATGGTGCATTTCCCCTTCCTCACACATGGGATGTAAAGAATATTCCAGAAGAACAAGAGTTTAAAAGTGTCTCTCAAACACACATGTGGAAAAATTGTCAGAATATTCTTAAATTTGAAAATTTCAGAGTAGTTTAAAAAGCCTGTGATCTTTGCACTGTTTCAAGAGTCAGCAACACTAAAGGAAGATATTCACCATCAGTGACCACACACAGGATTTCCTTTTGCGACAGTTTTGCAAGGAGATCCTCTGGGTTGGCATTCCATTCAGGTCACCAGGTCTCTGCAATCTCTGTGAGGACCTGCAGCAGCTCTGCAAATGTAGGGCGACCATTAGGTTTCTGGAAAAGGCAAATAGGAGGTGGTCAGCTCAGCTTAAGACTCATTCAGTCACCAGCCCTGGAAACTTGCGGACAGGGAACTGGATGTAGGCTGGTTCTCCACAAATGAAAGAGAAAGCTACCTTGGCTGACACACAGGGCATTATTGGCAGTTTTGTGAAAATCTGAGTAGAGAGTGCTGCAAAACTAAAATGACTAGAGCTGCAAACACATGTCACATGAGGCCATTTAAATTAAGTAATATTAAATACATTTTAAATCCTTCTCAGGCAGCCTAGACACTTTTCAGTTCTTCAATAGCCAGGTGTGTACTACTGGACGGTGCAGACACAGCTGAAAGAGTGTCTCCATCACCACAGAGAGTTCTATCGGGCAGCACTGCCCTAGAGATCTGTCTGGACGGTTAATATGCTTGGGATACGAGAGCTCGGGGAGAAGGGGTGTCTGGAGTAGCAGGCTCCTGGGCTGAGCCCCAGTCACGTACTGTAGCTGATTCCCTGTAGGAAGACAGAGTTCAGTCAGAAAACAAAAGGCATGTCTTCATGAGGGACTTTGGTGGTCCCAGAGCACTGACTGCACTGTCTTAAGGCTCAGGCAACAAATCCCTGGCCCGGAGACGAGGACTGGAGTGTTTTCCTTTACCAGGGGCTGTGGCTCAGCTTTGGCTCTTCGAAGAAGAGGCAACACTGTTGGCATCTCTGAAATCCATGGGAAATGGAATTACTCACGGTACCCACACTCTTGCCAAGGTCCCTGGCAGTGGGGTTAGTGGGGAGATATCACCTGAGTGGCTTGTAAACGGAGGCACCAATAAAAGAACTGAGCAGAAGGATATTTGAGCACATGGTAGAGTGCTCCTTGAGATGCCAAGGATAAACTGCGGAGCTTTTTGAGGGGGCTAAGGTTCTGCAGACAGTAGAGCCTATGAAATATGCATATTAATGTAATATAATCAGGCTTGAAGTTAGAGGTGCCTAAGCACTTGCGGCTTTTACGTGACATTAAAGAAGTTGTAGGCAAAATCAACTTTTGCAAACAAATAAATCAGCAGAATCAAAACCATTGTTTTAATGGATGTCTGACTGCAATTTGAGGCCGAGGTCATTTACTAGATCCTTCTATCGGTATTTCATTTACTCCCTTTTCTGTTTCTCTCCACAGATATATAAAATCTTAGTAAGTATTACCTTGTATGCACAGGTACACGTATATTATCTCATATACAGTATATAGTCCTGAGCTATTTACACTGTTACTGCAGAGAGGCTTTTAAGGCAGCTGTTGGCTACTAACATGCACTTAACATTTTTCTATGTCTTCCAGGACTCCTTGCAGAACAGTTGATCATATGTACATTATTTTCATACATCAGGGATCTTCACAAAAGTAATACTTCTCCAGAGTGTGAACAATTGCAATGCTCTTGAAATACTGAATTTTCCAGTGTCTGTGGATGGGGAATCAAGTGATTTCTTTTCAGCCAGGAGGACACTCCTCACCCAGCTGTGTTTTATTTCTGGGCTGAAACTGTCAGCTGAGGAGAGAGTGCTGCCAAAATCACAGGGGAGTTTGATGTGAAGGAAAGGGGTGTGTTGAATCTGTGCCCAGAAAAAGACAGAGTTGGGACATAAACCACTTTGGCATTATTTTTAAGCTTGGCATTTCAAGAAAAGAGAACCTGGACTCCTGAGAGAGAATTGCCTAAGTAGATGTTCTTTGCATGCGTTCTTCCTTCATTCCTATTCTGGTTTAATATTTCTATCAGGAATCGTGAGTGCCAAAGGAGAAGTGAAGCCTATTTTTAGTGTTGGAAAAGCAAGACAAATTAGAGTTAAATAAAAACACTATCCTTCTCTTTCAATGCCGAGGTTTAACAAACCTAAATTTATCCTTTGTTTCTGTCTAACAGGAAGTAAAAGTCTATTACCATCTATCACCGAGGCTTTAGTAACATTAAGAGTTTCTGCAAGAAACAATCTCAGGAAGATAAGACTGAGAAAATGCATTGAATTCCTCAGATGAAAGGCCATTGTTAGAAACAAAATGAATGAATGGGTTTGCAAGGGTGAGCTCCACACAGCAATGGTACTTCTCTGCTCTCAGCATTCTTTACCTTTTTCTGCCCAATGGAGTCTTGGGGCAATGTTTGTGGTAAACAGGTCCATTCTTAGGTGCTAGGACTGCCAACCTTTGCAGGAAGGCAAGGGACTCTCACCTCATGCCAGCAGCTGTACATGACTTCATATATGGACATTGGTGCCAGCCGAGGGCGGTACAGCCTGAAGCCTTTAGAAATGGCTTCCACAACTTGCAAATTTGACTTATTTTCAAAAGGCATTTTTCCTTCTGTAAACACTTCCCACATCAAAACGCCTACAAATAAAATGCATTAAAACAAGAGGTTAGAGAGAAATGATTACTTGGAACTGAAAGAACTGTTTCAAACTACAAGGCATTATTTTCTTGTTTGGCCTTTGAACTACAATCATCCAGAATGAGAGCAATTTCATTTAGGAATCAGACCATGAGTATTTTAGTGTTTTGAATAGGCCTGTAATCTGAAAATATTCCAAGTGAAAACAATGTCCTTTTTTTGGCACTGGTCTTGATTACTTCTGTATTGGTAGAAAATGTTGCCAGCATTTTCATTTCTAAGTATGCTTATGTCTTCACACCCTGAAACCAATAAACCTTTCTGCCACTCTATAGAAAATGACAGAATTATGTGAGTTCTGCAGCCCACTGAGATAGATGTAGCTTCCTATTGAAAGAGTAGACTGCTGGGTAGAGCCTCAGAATTTCTAGCAGCTCTGTACGGAAGTCGGTGTTCAGTAATCACTGATTGATTCATTGATTAGTGAAACTCCCTCAAGTTTCCCACTTTGACTTCATTTAATTATTCAGTTATTCACAAATGTGTATCAGGTATCGATTAGAGGTCAGGCCTATGCTAGAGCCAGAGGATTCTTAAGAAAGAGACCAGTCCGTGTAGCTGAAGCTCACTGTGTGGTGGGGAAGAGAGGCCAGTGGTCAGGTAAAGCTCAAGGGGTTCTAATTGTTCTGTTACCACCTGATGAGGTCTTTCTGTTGCTTTCCATTGGTCTCATAGCTTAACTGCTCTCCACTAGAACTTAAAATGTCACCAGCCAAGACTGCCACATGTCAGTGGAGACCTAATGGGATCAATGATACAAGTTTAACCTTATGTGGACAATAAAAATTCACACCCTTCTGGGTGTGAATCTCAGATACCTTATATATCTCAAAAATCTCAATTATCTCTCCAAACCCAGAAAAGGATCCAGGAAGGTCTGGGTGAAAAATAATAGGTTATCCTATATTTATTGACACTTTTCAAAAATCAACTCAAGGAACAAAAGCCACTGGACCTGGGTGTACAGTATCACTTTCTCAGTGAAGAAAGTTACTCAGTATAAATCTCAATTGACAAACCACATGGGACCCTATGTCTAAATTCCACACGGTTTGAAGGTAATGAAGTAAATGAGGTGGCATTGCTTAGCAGTCAGCCAAAGAGGCCTAGTAATTACATTCAAGATTCAATTGACACCTTAAAATCGCTTTTCTTTGCACGTCTCTGTGGTACGGAAAAGTTGGCTGAGTTTGTTTTCTAGATCAGTAGAGTTCTTGTTCCAGTTTTAGCACGAGTGCACGGTGCAAAAGGAAAAGGTCTGAAGAGCAAACTTAGGCCAGGACGTGCGTGACAGCGCAAAGACCGCCGGGCAGCAGTCAGAACTCCAGAGAGAAGCACAGTTTCAGGACTTGTTCTTAAATGCTACATCATATTAAGAAATAAAAGTTTAAAGAAGATTGGCAGCTTTGGCTAAATCAAGTGCCACCAAACGAAAATCAAGTTCACTCACCAAACGACCAGACATCAGATTTGGTGCTGTACTTGCTGAAATGGAAAACTTCAGGAGGGGACCACTTGATGGGGAACTTGGCTCCAGAAGAACTGATGTATTCATCATCCAAAACATACCTAAGGCCACCAGATTGAAAGCGCTAATTACCTCCAAGTTCCGCTTGCTTCACATCCCTGCAACTCCAAGTTCTAAAAGAGGAAATATTTTACCCCAGATAGGTTCTGTATACATTTTCTTCTTGTTATCAGAGTGGGAAAGTGTCCCAGATCATGTTTCCTCCCCAAACCAAGCCTCGACTGTGTTTATTTGGGTCAAAGAAAGCCTAGCCATTCTTCAGCCCCAAACTGAAGGAATTGGTACTCCCTTGGCCATCTTCAGTCTGCAAAGCAGCATGTTGCACGCTCTAACAACCAGAGCTATAAAGAGGAAACCAAAGGTAAGTGTATGGGAAAGAGGAATGCAAAGTTGGATGCCTGGTTTTCTTTCTTTGTGCATATATGTGTGTGTATATATACATGTATACACACACACATATATTTGTGTGGGGGTGTAAAGAAGGGAAAAAATAAATATTATGTCTGTATTCAAACATAATACAGTTAATGTGAAAATGCTCTAATGCATCAGAATGGCATTTCTATATGGAAAGAAATCAGTAATAACTACCATGTTCCTCAAAATATAACAAAAAAATTAAACCCTCTCTCTTTTTTGAGACTTGTATGCAACAGCATCCAAGTGTGGGAGTCTGAGAAGAAGGTCTGATAAGCAGCTTGTGCTCTGTAGCTCCTAGAGTGTGCAGTATAATATTTTTATTTATAATTATTTATTTATGCTTCCCACATTCGAACTTTATTTTTTCAGATACTCTACCCACCTTTAAGCCCTTTATTGAGCCAGAGGTCATTCTACTAGGGGAAAGAAAGAATAATAGAAAACAAAAGGGTAAGAGCCATTTTTCATACCTTTTGAGTTTCAAAAGTCTTTCCAGAAAAGAACTGAGTTATTAACAAAATATTTGGGAGAATGGCTCATGAATAAGAGTGATACCTCCTTACCACCACCACCATCCATCCCTCTAGAAAAAGATCCCTTGAGCTGGGAGGTGGAGGATCAAAGGGAAAGGGGAGAAGTAGTGGACATTAGTGGGCAGCTGAGCTAAGGCCTGCTCAGGTCACAGAACAGAACGGGGAGCGAAGGCCCCCTTCCCTACAAGGGGCTGGTGGGACTCAAGAGCAAAACCGTATCTGTGCCCTCTTTTCCAGGCTGATCCCAGGCAAGACAGAAAGATTCCAGAAAACAAACAGCTGTGGACGTGACTAGGTAAACAGGGCTGTACACAGTCTCGTGAGTTTTCTAATCACAGAGGAGTCCAGATAAGAAGAAATCTTGCAGACAGAGATTCAGGATGAGTCAGCAGCCACCTGCGCAGACGGCCAGGCAAGGACAAAACAGGGCAGCAGCAGCAAGGATGCCAGCGTCAATGGATAATGGGGACCATATCCAGTAAGTGGCTGTGAGACACACAGAACTTGGATTCTGACCCTGAAGAAAGTCGGGGAGAGACCTTGAGTTCGGTGGGATTCAATTTTTAGCAACCTGAAGAAAAAGGGGCTCACAACACAAACTGCACTGAGTCCTAGGAAGTAAGGGTAGATTTTCCACACTTTTTTGAGGTGTAGACTTAAATTACTACACTTGGTAATAGAAATGCATGATGATGACATGGGATAATCAGAGCTGAGCAAACAAATTCATTCTTTTTTCTTTCAGAAATATGTATGTATTAGAAAAGTTTTTTTCTTAGTCTTATACATATGGTGAGTGGACTGAGAAATTCTTTGCAATTTTAAGACATGCTGTAATTGTATTAATAATGACCTGAATGAAGATCAGAAGAATAGCACCCAGTATCCGTTTGCCTCACAGCTAGCACTGGTGCATGTTCTAAAATTCAAAGTGGGTCAGCAGGCCATAGAGCCACATCAGCACTTCCCTCAGAGGAAACGAGCAACACTATTAACATCTTCAGTTTGTCAGCAGACAAATGTGAGATCCCCCCTTACGAGTAAACAAAAATATATGTCATGTACCTTGTCATCCCAAAGTCCGAAATTTTTACTATACTTGTAGAACTGACCAAACAATTCCTTGCTGCCTATAGAAAGAAGAAAAAAATCCAAGTTGAATATAAGTTTTTCTTTCAGAAGTCTCTATTCTCCTCTTCCTTGGTTTATACGGGACCCTGCACCAATTCTCTGTATGTGCAGACATGTTATTTTTATGGTGATTCCTGATTTTATATATATATATTTCAATATATCTGCCCTCACATGATGGATTTTCATGATTCTTCAAATAAATAACCAAAAATGAAAAGAAACTTTAATATTTTTCCTTTTAAATATTTTTATCTTAAGACATATCCTTGATAAATATGAGGATTAAGTCAATCTAAGAGATGTTAAACTATGAATTGGGACATAAAAAAAGTATGTATTTTTAAATTTATCTGCATAAACCCAAAGGAAAGCCCAATATGCACATCATAGAAGAGAAGGCATTATATATCTTTGGGATCTGTAATTGCTAATAAAAATTAAGGAATTGTATTTTAAAACTTACATTTCATTGATATAACTATTGATAATGATAATTTCACATTTCTTAAAGTTACTAGTGAACTAAGATAACTTTATATATGCTACATAATACAGAAACAATCTATTTGATGTCACAACAATTCATTTGAAGTCAGCTTAGTCAAGAAAATCATTGATTTGTAGGTCAGTGGTTTGATAGAGTTATTCTCTTTTCAGTTAATTTGTGGTTTGGTTAGTTCAAAAACAAAAGCAAGAAACTCAGCCAGAGATGGGTAAGATTCCTCAAGGGAGGAACAACCTAAGACAGGCAGAGTCGCAGGGGGGCCATCAGGTGAGAAATTGGGGATCAACAGAGGTGAGGCTTAGAACCTCACCCCCCCTGTTTTGAAAGAAATCTTCTGCATCCGTGGATGTTTTATTGCCCTTGTCTAGCTTGGATTAACACTTAGTCTACAGGCACACACCTGATCATCTACATATGCTCTCTTACAGCACTAAACTATGTTTTCTACCTTCATCTTGCATCTACCTACCACTTCAGCATTTTATTAAAAATAAAAATAATAATAATAATAGGAGAAATGTGGGATCAACATATAAATCAAGTACAAAAATCAAATGAATATTCATATTTGACCTGATGGTTTATAGGTCATATTGCATGATCAAAACCGAAAGTTTCTGTGATGACTGCCCTTGTACTGTTCACCATGTAAGAATTTATTCACTATGTAAGAATTCGTTCACCATGTAAGAACTTGTTCGTTATGCTTCAGAAGATTGGAGACTGACGAGAATTAGGCTGGGGGTGAATTAATGATTGTGCATTGAGCATTGACTCCCCTATACAGAATTTTATTGTTGTTAACAACCATTTGATCAATAAATATGAGAGACGCCCTCCAAAAAAAAAAAAAAGCAAGAAACTCAAAATATAAGCCAGAAGGAGGCGGTTTGTAAGATGTTGACAAGTGCCAGCAATGATCTCAAAGACAAGCCCTTTAGGGAAAAGACTCATTATTAGCTGATACAGTTTATGTGTCCTGTAGGTGGATAAAATAGAACACAAAAGAAAGTGATCAAGGAAAAAACCAAGGGTATGAGGGTCTGCGAGAAGCCATCAAGAGCAAATAAAACGACCAGAACTGTCACCTGACTGAGTTTTGAGTTCTAATCCTTATCAAGAAAGACAAATCTTCAGAGACTAGGAAAGCAAGCAAGGTGGAAATGATGCTCTATCCACACATTCAAAAGTTTGCTCAAAACTGTGCGCTGGACCCCAGGGAATATACCATGAGAGATGCAGAATAACGGTCTAGCTATGTAATGGCGAGTGTTAGCATTGCTGAGCTCTTCCACGTGCCAGACACTGTTTTACGTGCTTACACATTAATTCATGTAATCCTCCCAACAAGCCCACAGGAGGGAGATGCTACAACTACTACCACTTTGCTGGCTAGTTTGCCCAAGGTCACAGGGCTAGGAAGAAACAAAGGTGAGGGTTCAGCCCAGGCTGTCTAGCTCTAGAGCAGCAGTTCTTGATCTTGACCACACATTGGACTTACCAGGAAAAATTTCAAAAAATATGGATATCTAGACTCCACCCCCAGAGATTCTGACTTAATTAGTCTGGGGTACAGTCTGGGTCCTGGGATGTTTTGAAAGCTTCCAGATGATTCTGATGTACAACTAAGTTTGAGAGCCATTGCTGTGCGACCTGTGTTCTCATCACACTGCCCTGCAGTTCAGAAGTCTAGGCCTTGATATTTAAGGAGTTTAGAGTGTAATACTCATGTAAACAATGTAAACAATTAACTATTATAGGAAGTAGGAAACAATAAATGCCTTAGAGTCTAAGCCATGTGTAAAACAAGCAATAGTGTTCTGGGGCCCATCAAATGGTGCCTCCTTCCTCTTCCCAAAATACTCCAGCCTGAATGATGAAAAGTACCGTCACCCCGGTCACAGGCGATGGAAGTACAGGATTCCCTCTGGGGGACAGTGTCAGGGACTTTTCATAAATTCTCAAATTCTCCCTGGAGTTAATTTTTAGACTTAGAAATGAGACATGGAAGGACATAGATGGAATAGTATGACTATCATGATGGAGTGGGTGGAAAATGATTTTCAAGGGAAAGTAGCAAGACAGGAAAGCAAAACTATTATCATTTGGAGCAAAACAAGCTTCAATTTTTTTCTTTTGGTAGGACTGCTGTGGGAGTTCCAGGACAGAACGCCAGTAATGCGGCAGCGGTACTGGTGAGAAGCAACCCTCATCCACAAGGGGGCGTTACGCTCCGGGAGGCACACCTGGAGGGTGTCCTTCCCTGTTTTATTATCTCCGGCACCCAGCAGGGTGCTTGGACAACTCAAAGTTCTCAGTACAGGTTTGATTATAGGTTGAAAGGAAGAAAGGCCCAAAGAAGAGAAGGACAAAGAAAAGCAGGGAGAGAGGAAGAAAAGTAAACTTGTTTTGTCAGTTGGTTAGTGTGGTGGTGGATTAACTCAAGGCATATTGAGAGTAATGCCTTCCTTAGCTACAGTATCAATGGGCGACTAAATTTGAAGTTACATTTTCCAGCAAATTACACAAATGGGAAAATATTTAAAAATTAAGCCAAGCCATGCATTATTCAATGTATTGCAAGTCCCAAGTTGTCATGTCCTTCTGAATATAATACATAAAATAACCAGTGAATTTGCACCATACTTACTAAATCCCTGTGAATAAAGCAGTTTCTCTCCAGATACTCCATCCCTTCACTTATGTCCTGGCACATGCTCAGCAGCATTTCCTTCCTCAGCTTTCCTTTTCTGTCTCTGAGATAGTTAAGCAGGCAGCCATTTTCCATAAACTCTGTCACAATGTAAAGGGGCTTCTGCTGTGTGCACACTCCATAAAGCTGAACTAGTTTAGGATGAGACAGTTTCCTGTGGAAGGAACACATACATCACTGAGCAGAATTTTTGCATTTTTAAGTGTTCAGACTCCACTTGTGATCTTTACCATCTCAATATAAATTTCACCAAAATATGATAAAAATTAACCCAACCACAGAGAAAGTAGAGCAGTTTCCTTTCCACTTTATGTGCTGAGAAAGTGGGGTCAAGAGGTTAAGCAGAGCTTCCTATGTTGTAGATACAGAATATCACATGCCCTACATTCTGTTTTCTCCTCTCCATCTTGTAAGCCTTTTGCTACCTTGTTACTGCTAACTCCTCACCCAGGTCTTGCAGGGCTCCTGTTCCTTAAGCTTTAACCTTCCTAACTGCAGGTACTCAGATAAAAAATTCTGGACAGACAGAAGGGAGGAAAGAAGTACTGATGCGTATAAAAAAAGAAACATAAATTCTAAAAAATAAAGGCATTTCAAAAATAATTTTTAGATAAAGTTGGGGACTGAAAAACATTTACCAACAGAACACAGGGCACTATATTTAGTAATCATACACACACATGCTTGAATGCTGCAAAATGCACCCAGAACGTTTTAGTCATCTAAACTTCAAAAGTTTTTCTTCTGGAACATAACATTCCATCCCTGAAGGCCTTTTATGCCAACCAGTCATAATGGAAAACAATATTCCAAGTAATATTTATAGTTTTAGAAGATGTATAATAAGGTGATTATCTGTTAATCAAAAGTCCCTTGAAATGTTACCTCTTTCCATTCATAAAGGTAAAATAAAATCAATGACTCAGGGAGATTATTTACCATAAAACAATGTGTATGAATGATTCATTGACACATTATCCTATAATTAGCATGCAAAACACACCAGTTAGTGGGGAGGAGAAGCACCCAGAGAATCTATACATGACTTTTAATCTGTATATATATATAAATTAGAAAGGTAAACATATATATATATATATATACACACACACACACACATACATACACATGTATATATATATGACCAGGGCAGCTTATTTAAACTTTATCAGCCTCAGTTTTTTCATGTGTGTTTCATGTATATATGGTTTCATATATATATGTGGGTTTCATATATATATATATATATGTCTGATTTACCTTTCTAACTTGTAAAATGTACTTTCAGTTAAGGAATATAGTTTACATGTTCAAAAATGGAATTCTAAAATGGAATATTAATTTACCATGAGAAATCTACCAAGTTGATGCCCACATGTAAGCATTTGAGAATTAAACCATTACACTGCATTTTTCTTAGCAAGATCACTGGCAAAAATCAGAAATAAGGCAAACCCTTATCAGAAGTAAGGCAGAAACAAATAAATGAGTAAACTCTCATGTGTGTGGTTCAGCCTAACAAATAAGACAAATATTTCTCAAGGGCACTGAAAGATGCAAATGAGAAAAGTTCATTCTTGCTTGCTGTAACTTCAGTACCTATTAACACATATTTTTTCTGAGTCCAGATCTCAGTACAGTATACATGATTCACTGCTGGGAAAGCATGTTATATTTATTTAAATTGTTGTTTAAATATTTTCAGACTCTGTAGCCTTCTTCTCTTCTAATTATTCTCATTCCCTTGGTGATCACAACAAGTCTCAGGTTTTAAATGTCACCTCTGATGCCCACCTTGACCTCTCCCTGAACCTGACTAGTATATTTACCTGACCTCTTGGCTACCTAAGCCTCTCAAATTCAACATACCCAATGCAGAATTCTATTTTAAAAAACCATTTTTTTTATCGAAGTAGTTAATACACAATATTATATTGGTTTCAGATGTACAACAGTCACTGACAGTTACCTACATTAGTAAATGCTCACCCCAATTAATGTAGTCACTATCTGTCAACATACAAAATCATTACTATATTACTGATGATTGATTACTCCCTATGTTGTACTGGCAGACCCAAGACTTGATTATAAGTGGAATTTTGTGTCTCCCAAAACAGAATTCTTGGTTTTTCCTCTGTATCTGTTCCTTGGCCTGTCTTCTTTCACCATAATAATTTGTGCCGCTATCTGCCTAATAATACACAACAAAACCTTGGTTTTTCATCTTTGTTCCCCTAGTTTCCTCACATGAACTTGATCATTTATCGGCAAGTCCTTATGACTTTATCTCAAACACTTATCCTGAAACAAAACTCTCTTCTCTTCCTCTCTGCTTCACCCCCCAACATCATCTTCTACCAGGACCATTGTTATAGTGTCCAACCTAGCCACCACCCCCACTTCTGATTCCCAACAACCATTCTCCTCACAGCGACCAGCATGGCCTACATGAAATAGAAACAAGAACATTTGTCTGCTTTGAACACTCCCAATCTCCCTTGCCCAGCCTGAGCCCCCAGGGTCTTGTCCCTCCACCATATCTCTCTGTAGTCTCAGGGCTCACCTGTCTTTGGAATCATCGTATTCATGTATTTGTTGGTTTGCTGCCTGTTTCCCTCCCATCTTTCTACTAGAACATATGCATAATATAAACGCTTTAAGAGTAGGAGCCTTGCCTGTCTTATTTATCATATTTCTAGTACTTACAACACTGCTTGGCACCTAGCAATATGTATTTGTTGAGTAAGTGAATAAACGAATATAGAAAACTGAATGATGCCACAAAGCTCATTTTAAGAGATGCTATAAAATCTTTGGGAAATAAATTATATCTAATTAAAAAATTACTCATGAATATTTTAGCAAGAGTTTGCAATGCTATTTGCACTTCTGCTGATTTCACAGACACAGGCATTTTTAGGCAGCGCAGCGTCTCTTTCCCAGCACACTGCACTTAGGTGTTCTGACTATTTCCTTTTAGATCCTCAAATCAATAGAAGTACCACTGAAAACTTACCCCTCAACACTCCTGAAAGTAGATTTTCCTTTCTCTTTCCTTTTCCTCATTTATCTCTTGAATCCACCTTTTCTTGATTTACTATACTTTACTAACCCTCTACTCATTTACTTTCTTGAAATTTTTAGGCAGAAATAAAGGCTCAACACAATCATGTAAAAGATCTGATTGAAAAATAAACGGAAATGATGGGAAAAATAGCTGTGTTAAAAGAGACAATGGGTAAATTTTCTTCCTTTCTCTGTTTTCCAAATATTCTAGTTTTTAAAAGATATTTATATTTGAGGGGCTAAACATATTCAATTTATTTTATAATATTAAATAACAAAAATTATTTAAATTAAATCATATTTAAATAACAAGGGCTAGGAATCCAACTAAAAATTTTTATTATAAATACTAATTACCCCTGGGGAAAAACACTTAGGTAGGTGAGGGCAAGAAAATAGGAGAGTTTTCAGTTTTTACTTCACTCATTTCTGTGTAATATTAATTTATAACATCAAAGTTTTCTTTCAAAAATCTAAAATATTTTACCATGAATAAATGATAATACAAAAATAATGAATAAAATGAAATGAGATACAAGTAAAAAAGTTCTTAAAGAAATGAAAATTGCTCATACATACATTTTTCATTATTATAATTGTAATTAATTTACATATCTACATATATGCACTGCTACTAATAAGCTATATCCAAGACACAAGCCTACAGTTCAAAAACCAAAGTGACAGTTTCTTTAAAGGCAATGCAGTGTGGGAACAAGTTAAAGATAATGTAATACTCCTAATCGAAAGAGTTGAATTCAAGTTGTTTTATCTATTAGCTGCATGACCGGGGCAACTTATTTAAACTTTCTCAGCCTCACTTTTTGCATGTGTGAAAGGGGATAATAAAACTTGTCTTTCCTTCCAGTAAGCATTAAATGAGACCATGTACATGAACATAGTATAAAAAAGTATAAACCAAGGTAAAATATATAAAGATAAAATTTGGAAGTTTAATAAGATTTTATGGGCTGATACCTAAAGGGAAAAAACTGGTTTTCATTCATCAAATAATCTTTAGCAAATGCTCTGGAAACCCCATGAGTACAAGCCCCAAATTTAGGCTACATCCTGAATACAGGGATTAAGAGCACCACAGAGATCTGAATTTGGTCTTCCACTGCACTAGAAAAGCTACATAGATGACAACGATTTTGGTTAACAGTTATGCCAATTTCTCTAAGGTCTGGCATATAGCAGTTGCCCAGTAAATGTTTATTCATTATTTTGTTAGTTAAGACCATGGGCTTTGTGCCCAGATAGTTCACAGTTCTCATTTCAATTAGAAACTCTACCAATGTTTTGCTGAGGGACTGTACACAAATTATATAAGCGTTCAAAATTTCTTTTTTCTCATCCTTAAAATTTGGGGTCTTAATGAACTCATAGAATTGTGGTAAGGATTAACTTATTCAATAATCCAAAATATCTTTTGAACACCAACTACATGCTAGACATCATTTTAGGCACTCAATATTATTGACTATATTCCCTATGTTGTACTTACAGCCTGTGACTAATTTATATTATAATTGGAATTTTGTGCTTCCCAAAGCAGAATTCATTTTAGGCACTCACCAGGTTATAGATGAGAGATAAATAAGATCCTATTATTATGAGGCTTATGTTCTACTAGGGGAGAACTAAAGCAAATACACATGAAGCTTGGGAGTGGTGACAAGTGCTTTAATGGAACTAACACAAGATGATACAAGAGAAAGCATTGGGAGTGGATATGCCAATTAAACAGGGTAGTCAGGGAAGCCATCCTGAAGGAGGTGACATATAAACTACACACTTACAAAAATGAGGTAATATGTATATCTACAGTGATAATGTATAATTACCAAACTGTATATGCCTGGCAGATAGAGTTCAATGTGTGTCATCTATTTAATTTTTTAAAGATAAATGTATTTGCAACAGGATGTTAGAAGGGAACCATTCCTACCTCATTTTCAGAAAAATCCAGAGAAAAACAACTATGCTCAAACCCAAGAACACATTATGTTCATTTGAACTGACTTAAAAATAGGCCTTAGTTCCATTCTTGCCTCCGTAAACTGCCAGGAGCTATTTCTGTTCCCCACATTCCATGCATCTTCCATCACCCTCAAAATACCCTCTGAACTCCTGACCCTGTGTCGGATAAGGCACATGCCTTTCAAGAATTCCCTCATGACACTAGACATCTCTAATTCTTGTTTCACAGGGCTTCCAAGATGGCTTCAACTTTCCCTGAATTGCAATGTCTCCCTTCCTTTCTTTTCCTCTTATGCTTATTAAATCCAGCAACAGGAACATCATTTTTTGTCTTTTCTTCAGATATAGGAACACCATGGTCTCCCACAGGTAGTATCAGGGAGCAAAAGCTAGGGAGATGCTAGCCTGGGGCAACCCAGGAGAACAAAGACGTCTTTGGGAAGCTCATGTCACCAGAAAATTATTTATCATAACTTCCCTTGATATTCATTTTATTGTATGTGAATGGGAAGAATATTTTGATAGGACACTTAGGGAATGTGTTGAGATTCCCCAAGACAGAGCATTACTCTGCTTTCAAAGGAGAAGGGGTCCAGGTTCTTCTACTTTTTGGTTTGTTTATTTGTTTTTTCAACTGAGCTCTGCAAGTTTGGAGAACTAAATTGCTTTAGATAGAAAACAGAATCTAAGTACTGCCACCTGAGGTTTTCCTTCTTCACCACAATGCTGCTCCACTAAGTCAATGTTGAACAAATACTTTAAAGTTTATTTGATTTGTGCCAAATCACTGGCCTCTGCTGGTCCAGCCCAGATCACAGAAGTGAACCACAGCCATAGGTTCAACTGGATCAAAGTGCTGATCTGGGGAATCACAGAAGTTAAGAGCAGTGTTCACTGATCTACAAAGAGCCACTTCTTATTAGAGCTCAGGATTCTTCAATTCTCTGAAAGCAAATAATTTATCCTTATGTTATTATGTAGCCAAAATCAACATTTTTGCTTCCAGGTAAAGAGGAAAATGTGCACTTACTAAGCACCTATTACTGAGCTGAAAAAACACACCTGCTTGTCACTTTCATAGATTATGTCATGTAACTTGCACATTCATCCAGGTATTGTTATCCCCATTTTACAGGTGAGGAAATCAAGGCTAAGAAGTAACTGGCCCAGGTCACACAGAGGTCAAATAATTTGCCTGAGCCACACAACTAGCTTGGGCAGAGTTGTGACACAAATCCAAGTGTGCCTGATGCCAAATCCATGTTCTGTCCATGACACCAGGATGTGGCACTATGTTTATCTGGGTGTCACTTACACTTACATCATCACTTCGGCCTCTCCGATGAAGTCCTCTTCAGACATGGAGCCTTCGCTGACAGCCTTGATAGCCACCTGGACGTGTGCTCGCCACTCACCTAAATGGACCACCCCAAACTGACCACTTCCTATCTCCTTTATAAAAGCCAGCTCGGATGGGTCTATTTCCCATTTTTCTGGAAAGGGAAAACATCCATGTTACAAGTAGGAAAAAACATGTTCAAGTTTTAGAGCTAGAAAACACTTAAGAATTATCTAGACCTAGTCTCTTCTTTTACAGAGATGTTAAAAAATTGATAAATGAGTGGGGTGGGCCTGCCACCATTTTAGTGCTCTCACTGTGGCGTACACTTATCACTCCAGAAGTCAAGTTTAAAAATACAAACATTGCTTACTTGGAAAGGAACTATGGATATCAAAATATTCTTTGTTTTTCTAGAAAGACCCAGGAAGAAACACAGTTCTGTGCCTTGCTAAACTAAACCAAGACTAGGCCTGGGACCTAAAATGTTTATGCCCCAGCCTGTTTTGTCTTAGTGGGAAAGCTTGTGAAGCTGATAAAATGTGGGCTCCCCTGGCCCCCAATTTCAGCTCCTTCTACTGTTCCTCTGCCCGTCCTCACCCTTGAAGGGCTTTTCTGCCTTGGTGTCTCCTTAGGGGGAAGTCTAATAAATACATCCAATGTTAGGATTCTAACTCACATATATCTACGTGTAAGTTTGAAGTGAAATGTATGTTACTGTATATTTTACATCCTCCAGAAGCAAACTTTGAAAACTGAGTAGCAAATGTTTACTTCTCAGTATCTCCTTTTATGCAGTAACACCGCCATCTGCTGGAAATTTAGAATAATGCATTTAAAATAATTACAAAGGCCGATGGCTTTGCAAAGTACTCTCCCTCTCGATAGTAAGTATATTTTTAAAATAACGTGGGAGACTATATTCATGACCTTGAGATTGGTGCAGATTTATTTAACAGAACATAATCATAAAGGAAAATATTAATAAGTCACACTTCATAAAAATTTTATTCTTCAAATATACCCATTAAGAAAGTACAGAGATAAGCTGCAGATTGGCAGAAGAGATTCCTAAAACATGCAAACCAAAAAAATTCCTTTTCAGAATATGAAAAAAACAATTAGAAAAAGGCATATAATCATATTTTTAAGGGTTAGAAACTAGATGTCTCACAAAAGAGAATACCCAAATGTTCATTAAACCTATGAAAAGTTGATCAAGTAACTAGTCCTCAGGGAAATGCAAATTTAAACCATAATGAGATACCAACACACACTCACCAGACTGACTAAAGTAAAAATCAAACCCACGAGAATACCAAACACGGCAAGGGTAAAGCTTTGGAGCAGCTGGGACTCACACGCACTGTTGATAGAGATGCAATTTGGTATAAGCTCTTTGGAAAGCTGACTAAATATACACCTATGATATTGTCATTCTACTCTTAAGTATATAGCCAGCATTGTTGGAGCATAAATGTGCACTAAACTTCAGCAAAAGACAAGCAAGAATATTCATAACAAAATTATTTTTAAGAGGCAAAATCTAGTTACTACCCAATAGCCATCTAAAGAAGGATGGGTAAGTCAACTGTGGCACAGCCATGCAGGTGGCCCTACACCACACAGAGAATGAACCAACCTCATCAAACACTGTAGCTGAACTCACACATGGAATGATGAGAGAAGGATGCCAGACATGAAGGCATGGTGTCTGGTTCCATTTATGTAAAAGTTGTCAGCACCAGGAAAAACACTAATTGAGCTATAGACTTATGAATTGTGCGCTGTTCTGTATGCTAAAAAAATCAGTTCATTTTTAAAAATTAAACAGGACCATGATTAACTTAAATAAATTGCTAATGATGGAACTTTTGTCATATGTACTCTATGGGGCAGAGAAATAATCCAGGCACCAATAACACTCTGAAATCACCCTTCCATCCTGATTAACACAGAGATCCTGAGTCCTGGTTACCTATGACACAATGTAATTGTGTTATCATCTTGTCAGCATATTCTGATTCCACTAATGAGAGAAATTTAAGGAAATAAAGTGCCACCAAATTAGAAAAAAGGATTCTTTGCCTTTTACTTACTCTCATAGGTTTGCAAATACCACACCGTCTAAAAAACAGTTTCAACTGAAGATGAAATGAACACTTTTAGCAGATCTTTTTAGCAGGTTCCCTTTGGGAATCAGTCATTTCCCAGCCACCCTTATAACCAGAGAGTGACAACCCAGCCATTCAAATAAAAAAAACTATAATTTACCAAGGGAGCTGCTGATAACATTAAGTGAAATTCAAAGTAAAGGTGAAATATTTCCCCCCAAAATTTAAATTGCCCTTATAAAATGCATATATTCAAACATCTCAGAAGGGGGATTTAAACTTGGAGAAGAATCATATCTAGATAGACATATCAGAAGATCCAAGAGTTTAAAGGATGTAGAGGGGATGCGAGGCAGATTTTTTACTGGATTTGCTATTTTATTGTGCACATGTGCATACTTTACCATAGCTAAAACCAGCTGTGGCTGGTAAACAACTGCCCATCAGTCCAACAGGGTAGCGGAGACGGGTCAGGAGACCTAGAGAGAAAGAAATCGGCTTTTCAGGCCTAGTTACTAATACAAAAGAAAAAAGAAAAAACACAAAACAAAGACAATACCATTCTTTAAATAAATTAGGCAAAAAGTATTCTACAGTTAGCCTGTTTGCTTATTTTTTCCAGCTGAAAAACATTTTTCATAAAGTAACAAGTACTCACTGAACACAAATTTTAAAACCTAAGGAAATTTAAAGATGAAATTAAGACCCCTCATAAAATATTAGCATCCAGAAACACATTGTTATCATTTTGGTAAATATCTTTGCAAAAACCTCCAAATATGTATTTGAAAACATATATACATCTCTTTCACAGAAATGTAATTGTTTTGCTATATAAGCTTTTCACACTGAACATGTAGTTGATATCCAGCAATTACTATAAATAGGTATTAAAGTTATTTCTAGGCTTTCACTGTTATAAAGTACTGTATTTTCTTGAACATACATTTGTTTGTACTTCTCAAGTTATTGCCTTAGAATAAATTCCTTAAAATGTGATTTTCTCATCAAAGGGTATATAGAAAGGTTGTACCAATTCATTCAACCACCAGTGTTTAAGTGTACCCATTTCTCTGCCCTACTCTATAAGAGTAGTTTTTATTTTAAAAAAATAACATGGTAAAGTAAATGAGATTTATTTTGATTGGGTCAACAGGCAGCATTCTATAAGGTCAAGTTGAGTACAGTTCAGCATTATCTAGGTGGTTGGAGAGGCACTGAGTAAGACAGTGATGGTCTCTGTTCTCATGGAACTTAGATTCTTGTGGGGGAAGAAAAAACAAGTAATACACATACACAAGAAAAAGCAGATGCAATCGAGCAAACAGCATAGACAAAACAAAGCTCCTTTAGAGTACATGCTCAAGAAAGGCCTTGCTATCAAGGTGACAGCTATGCTGACATGGACTGACAATGAGCCATCTTACTAAGACAGGAGGAAGAGAATTCCAGGCAGATGGAACAGCATGTGCAAAGGCTAGAAGACAGAAATAAGCTTGGCCAGGATAAAACCAGAAAGAAGCATTAGTATGTGCATATTGTGTACAAAACCCTCTTCTAGGTAGAACCCAAAGATTCCAGAGGGCCGAAGATGAGTCCGATGAGGACTCTGTACATAGGGGCTCCATCTCAGTGTGGTAGATTAGCAGAGAGACAGAGCTTCAATCTAAAAGGAGTAAGTCCTGTACACGAGATATGCAAGGTGCACTGGGACACAGAGGAAGACCACCTCATATATTGTTGGATTCAAAGATTTCTGGGATGAAATTTTCCTGAGATGAATCTGATACATGGAGCTAACCCATGAGGAGAATCTGTGAAGGACATTCGGGGCAGATAAAACAGCCTGAGATGATATTTAAAGGTGTTAAGCAGGGTGGGCCACTTGAGCAAAATGCAATAGGTAGTAGAGGAAATAAATTACACTTGAGAGGTATGGGGTTCTATCTTAGTAAAGGAAGTTAGGCAGAGAGAGGCAATTCCAATTTACAAGGAATAAGTCTTATGCAGGAGATACACAATTACACTTGGTTATATGGTTCTTGCCAGCCATGCTAGGGAGCATTATATCTTCTTGCAGGTAAGAGGGAGCCATTAAAAGGTCCCAGTAAGGGAGTGGCATGGGCAGATTTACCTTTTTGATAGGTCATTTTGCTATCAGCATACAGGATAGACTGAGGGGAAGTCAACATTGGAGACGAAACCAGTGAAGAGGCCACTGCAGTTGTCTACATGAGCAATAATTAGCCCAACACTAGAAGACAGGGAGAGGCAGGGACCCATACAAGACATATTTAGGATATGAAATTATTTGCACTTGATAATCAGAAGTTATCTGTTAAAAAGAATGGAATCATCTCTTGTGACTCCTTTGTTTCCAGCCCCTGTAATTGTGAGGATGATGATTCCATTATCTGAGACAGACAATAGGAACAGGAGAAGGTTTCAAGGGGGAGTGGTGTGTAAGATGAAGATTTCAGCTTCACCACTGAAGTTCAGAGTCCGTGGGAACTGCAAAGGCCTGTGTCTAACAGGCAGAGAATTATGCAAAGGGGAATGTCTAGGGTAAGAAGAGAAGTGATCAGGGATGGATCCCTGTGGAACACCAGTGTTTAAGGGAAGAGTAGGAGTGGGATCCACAGGGAGGACGTGTACAGAATGATCCGAGAGAAAACAAGGTGGTGTCAAAACATCTAGAGTGCAGGGGAGTTCAAGGGGGGCTGCAGGGAAGACTTGAAAATATAAGAACTAGAAAGCATCACCATATAAGGGTCAACATGGGGGGCATCAGTAAAGCAGGGCGATCGAGGCAGAAGCCAGACTGTAGACTTTTAAAAAGCAAATGGAAAGTGATCGAATAGAGACAGAGAATTGTAACTTAAAGGAGCAATGCCTAAAAGAAGAAAGGACTAAGGGAGGGTTTTATTTTTGTTTTTCAAGTAAGAAAGTCTTAAGCATGTTTACAGGATAAAGGACAAAGGCCAGAAGAAACGGAAGAGGTGCAGGAGAGAAAGGCAGAGGGGACTGTGGGTAGTCCCGACAGAAGAGGAGTGTAGTGGGGACAAGAGCGCAGGCTGGGCCTCGCCGCTCCCAGAGGGAATGAGGTGAGGATGAGCTCATGGGGGCAGGCGGAGGGGACCGAGGGAGCTCGTGTCTGCCAGCTTGTCACTGAAGCAGACGGCTTGGTGATTTGCTAGAGGGCTGTGGATGACACTGGAAATGGGATTTTGAGAAGAATGGTAAAAGTTTGAACAGAAGATAGGAAAGGATGCTTAGCAGTGACTCTGAAGACCTAGTGGAATTTACAGGCCTCATGAAGTTAGGACTCTATGATGCAGGATCCACATAAGATCATAACAGGAATTTTGTTAAGACCCAAATACTTCCCTCTAACTTTTAAGTTTTTATTTGTCAAACATTTTTATTCTGCGAATTAGTGCCAATGGTAGTATATATCCTTCTGGTAAGGAGATAGATCATAGTGAGCTAAACTGACCAGAAGTCAAAACGCAGACAGGATCATCCTCAACTCCAATCTACAGCCTTTTCTAAGCCTGGATCCTGCGAAATGCGCCTCTTTCTGGAGGAGACAGCGGTCCCTGAGTGCAGACTCTGAAGCCAGTGGGTTCAGTGGCTCTAATGGCTTCAAAGATTTCTGTGAGTTCAAATCTCAGCACAAATATTATTAACTATGTGACATTAAGCACAACTCATGCCTCAGTTTCCCATCTGCAACATGTAGATACCAACAGCACCTCCCTCACAGGATTACTCTGAAGACAAAATAAATAAATGTACCTAACAGCACTCAGAACGGGGTTTGGTCTAAAGCAAGTCTTCAGTAAACATCAGCTGTTTCTGGACCCCAGGCCTTTCCTCTTTTCATACTTTTTTCTTGTCTTATTTCTTTTCTGCTTTTCTTTCTCCCTAATAAACAGTGGTCGGAGTTATAAGTTTTCAACCCCTGTTTCTCATTTTTTTAATTTGATCCATTTTTGATCCATTTTTTATTTTAAAAGTTATCTAGTATTTTATCAACTCTGAGAATAATGTATACATTGTAACAGAAAAAGCAAACGTTGAAGCAATCTGTACCACAGAAAACAACAACTTCCCTTGTCCCCAGTCTGTCCCCACAGGCACACATTAACAGCTTGTAGTCTGTTATTATGTTATTGGTTTAAACATTATTATCCAAACATTAAAAGAATTTTTCTGTTCACACACATATGCATAAATGTGTTTTTTTTTTACAGAAGTGGGACTATAATACACTACTTTGTGCTTTTTTTTCTTTACTAAAAAATTTATCACTAACATCTTTGCATGCCAGCACATCCTGACCTGTCTCAGTATTTTTTTTAACCTCACCACCATAACCACTCTGTTTCTTAAATTTTTTCTTTAAGGAAGGGGAAGAAGGAGTGTGAAGAAAAAGGCTCAGACCGGATTCTAAGGGTTTCTACCTCTCGCCGCAAATAGGTCCTGCCTTACTCCCCTCAGACACAGTGCCACTTCCTCTCCACCCAAACTCCTAGTGACCATCTGGAATATCCACGTGGATTCATCCCACAAGTGGACAAAGATTTCCTTGGATTTATTCCTGATATTTAGAACCAGTGTAATGGAAAAGCGGCCACTTTCCAGAAGGATTGTTTTGTCAACACAACTTTTCATGAGAGAAATCTCAAAAAGTATTGCATAACAAGGAGTCAAAACAATATGAAAAGTTACAGGGGGTTCCAGATTCTATAATGCTGAGATAAGGAGATACCCCCATGGGCTCAAAGTGCTCCAGGACAGGTTGGGTGAGGGCTGAGGCCAGAGCTATGATGGTAATTGTGGTGGTACTTTCTGCAATCCTGTATCTTTCCATAGATGATAGATTTGCAAAAAATACCAATTATTGCAACTAACAGCTGGGAAAGGGGGTTAAATATGCATCTGAAGAGGGGCAGAGCCAAGATGCCGGCTTGAGTAGAACAGCAGAAACCTCCTCCCAAAACCACATATATTTTTGAAAATACAACAAATACAACTATTCCTAAAAGAGAAAACAGAAGACACAGGACAACAGCCAGATACATCCACACCTGCAAGAACCCAGTGCCTCATGAAGGGGGTAAGATACAAGCCGTGGCCCGGTGGGACCCGAGCGCCCCTCCCCCCAGCTCCCGGCCGGAGGAGAGGAGTAGGAGCAGGGAGGGAGAGGGAGCCCAGGACTGCTAAATAGCCAGCCCTAGCCATCCGCACCAGAGCGCAGACACACAGTGCATGGGGTGCTGGAAACTAGGGAAACAGGACAGTAAGACCTGTGAGCAGGTTCCCACAGCTGGCGCCCCTGGGACAAAGAAAAGCGAGTGCTTTTTGAAAATCTTAAAGGGACAGGGACCCCATAGCTGGACAGAAGTATCCCGGGACACTTAACCCAGCAGCTGGGAATCCCAGGGAACACTGGGCGCCCTAACCCCCTGGGCAG